GGGAAACAAGCAAATTATGCACATCATTTTCCTTCATTGTAATAAATTACATTCTTGCTACAAATGAACACTGCAGTGCGACTGCCTGGGAAGTTTAAAAGGTAGCTTTAAAAAGGTGCTTGTACTCTAGGCTAGTCTTCCTTCACCGAAGGCCCACTAGATGTGTTGACTACAGTTCCCATCATCGGCTGATCATCAAGGCTTCTCTCATAACAACTGTACAGTAATACGTTGCGTCACGTTTGGACAACATTCGATGAGGGGGAAAAAACCTTGTCAGAAAAGGTTTAGAGTGGTGCTGCTGAAGCCTCCACAGTTGAGGGTGGTTTTCCTGGTGGGTTATACATTTTTGCGGTATGACTGAAAATGTTAAAGGATGCCATACTTAAATCATACTTTCAAAAGTTCACCCGTATAAGAAAGTTACTCCGCAAGGTTGAGTGATCTCTGAGGAGAATTATTTTGTCACTTAGCGAAAACACAATTAAAGGGGACCCCCATCCGTGCTGCGTGAAATAGTACAGTCCGCTCTCTCACTTCGGCGCAGCCCAGGCGCGGGCTACCTCGTGAGGCGTCTCCGGAGCGCGGGCGGCTGAAGGCTGTTTCTGACTGGGTTTCCTGGAGGCGATCCATAAATCAAGTGGATCATGGAGGAGGCGTCGGCTGCTTCCACCTCGTCTTCTTGCCCCGAGCTCCAGCCCCGTTACCAGTTCGGTCTTCAGGAGACTCCGGAAAGCGGCGGAGGCGCGGGGTTGACCGACGAGTCCTTTCACCCTCAGCGAGGGAAAAAAGCCAACAGGGGCCCCACCGCGGCCTTCCCTCCGAGAGGGTTGGAAGGTGGGCATTGCCTGAAGAGGGTCCGATCGCAGCCCCCGAATAGTGAAAATACGCTCTCTTCTCGGCAGAAACATCAATCCCCAGCTCACATGCCAAGGCTTCTCTCATAATAACTTCTAAGGGAATAGGAAGCATTAGCAGCAGCTAATGCACTTCCTTCTCAAAGTATATGTGTCTTTATAACAGTTTCGTTTATCCAGCTCTTGAATTGGGTAAACTTCAAAACTTCATTTATTAGGCTTCTTCTGACTCTTCTGGTTATTAAACATTTTATTACGTTTATGTCCTGCCTTTTGCTCAAGAGTGTTGTACATAGTTTCCCCTCCTTTCTCTGCAACAACAGCCCTCTGAGGTGAGAGAGTGGCATTAGGCTTCTTCTCATTCCTCTAGCTATTAAGCATTTTATTATGTTTATATCCTGCCTTTTGCTCAGGAGCAGAAAGTGTTGTACAGAGTTTCCCCTCCTTTCTCTGCAACAACAGCCCTGTGAGGTGGCCTGGAGTTACCCAGTAACCTTTTATGATTAGAGGGAACTTGGTTCTCTTTCATGGCAATCCCATACCTTAAATACATTCCACTGGCTGTCAGTATATCGGTCTGTTCACACGTACTGACTAGTTAATCATTGTAAGCTGAATATTTATGTGAATATTGCAATGATGAATTTTATCTTGGCACAAGTATCCCAAAGTTAGCATTTGCCATTATTATTTTTAGGTATGAGTAAATAAGAATATACAGCTTATATATTAGATAACACATGCCCTCGTATAATGTAAGGCTGTAATTACATATATGCGCACATACTTTAAATTAATGGCTGTAATCCTAGACAGACAGAACAACAGATTTTACAAATATGGATAAAATATATAATTATTGGGTGGTGCACTGGACAGTTTGCAACACTATTTGATGGTATTAACATTCTGAAGTCAACTAAGCCACATTAAAAATCCAATAAATAATTTATTAAACTTGTATAATGTAAGGCTGTAATTAAATATATGCACACAGACTTTAAATTAATGGCTGTAATCCTAGACCTGACAGGTAGAAAATAGGTGGAATTCAAAGGAACTTTTAAGCTATGAAGTTAAAACCCTGTTTAATACAGTTTGGTTTATTTTTAAACAAACTTTCCAATGGTTAAGCAGTTAGAAAGCAAGAAGATTCTGCTCAGTTTTATTACATTACAATTATCATTGTCCCACATCCAAAGCACTCTGGGCAAACATTCAAATAAGATGTATTTTCCTTTTAGATGTTATAATATTAGTCTGCATTTACCAGAGTCCTATGCTACTTAAAATTGCATTTGACATTTTGAGGAAGCAGTTGTTAATTTAAAGATACTCTAAATAATAATTCTTTAAAATAATGTGAATTTCCAAAATGTTTTAGAATTAAATCTTGAAACATCAAATTATTTCAGTATTCTGAAGATATATTTATCTTCCCAAGTCTTTTCATAGAATATATTGGAGGGGGGGGGCTCTGTAGGCCTTTTTGCTCATTATTTCTTTTCTTACTTGCATTTTTAAATTTTAAAAATATAAAATGGACTTAAATGCATCAAAGAGAAGTATCAGTGTACTAATACAAAAGGTGAAATTCACTATTTGTAGCTTTGCTTTCTGTTCTTCTAAGTTCTTAGGCTAAATTTGGGGTGCATTCAGGTTAACTTAGTTATACTTCGGTTCCATTGAAAGTAATGGGATTCAATTATTGATTAACTTGTCCCATTTGTTCAATGAAACTATTTTTTCCTGTTTATTTCAGTGGGCTTATAGATTCTGTGTATCTGTTCTTCTATGAAATTGAAAAAGAGATCTATTTGGGTGAGTACAACCTAGTAATTTAGGAAGCAGACTTTTTCCCTCTTTGTGACTTTGACAAGGAGTGTCTAGAAACTGACTAATGGATTGACTCCAACTCATCTTGAACATGGATGTCAGTAACCTGCAAGTGTCATTACCTAATTTTCTGCAGTGTCATAGGTGCCCCCAATTTTTCTAAAAAAATGTAGGAATAAAATTATCTTGAAAAGTTTACAAGTCTCATGAGATTTAGATGATTTTCAATTTATATTTAAAATATATTTATATGTAATATTTAAATGTTGAATATCCCAAGGCATCAAAGGGCAGAGTGAATGCTATGGCACTCACAGGCACTGAATTTCCAACTTCTACTTTAAAAGAATCAAAATGTTTATTATTAAATAGTGTTTCAAATATCTGCCTCATAAAGAAAATATTGCAATCACTCTATATTAATTACTTTCAAAGAAAACTTTCTTTTCTATATTTATTAGATTCTTATTTTGGAGACAAGAGTTCTTATGCAGAAAACATTAGCACAGTAAATATGACAAGCCCTTCTTCAACCAGAGATATAAAGATTTCTAGAATACGGAAAACGCCTCTCTCATCCAACCGAGTAGGATATAGAAACTCGACTCCTTTCATGGGATATTCAGGTACAGTTGGCTTACTTTGTTTCAAAAGAAATATTAATACTAAATAGAAAAAGACTTGGACTTCATTTATTCAATCCAGACTGAAATCAGTTTGAATTAACTTAGTTGTAGGTTATAAAGTAATCGTGAAGAGTTCCAGAAGGATCTCTTTAAACTGGATAAATAGTCAACCAAATTGCTAATATAGTGCAATTTAAGTATAAATTAATAATTATAAATTAAATATACACATTGGGACCCCCCAAAAAAGTAACTTCCCATATATGCTGATTTAGGTCTGAGCTGGCCAAGACTAACCAGGAAAGTGATCTTGGATTCATAATGGATAGCTCAGTTTTAAGTTAAATTCCATGGTAGGGATCATAGGAAAGGAGTTGAAAATAAAAACAGCGAACAGTTTAATGGAGTTACACAAATTTGTTGCAGAATGGCATCTAGAATGCTATATACAGTTCTGCTTGCCACATCTGAAAAGTAATATTGTAAAAGTGGGAAAAATGCAGCAGTTAGCTGTCAGAATTACCATGGGGCTTGAACTCTGCTATGAGAAAAAGCTAGAACATTTGAGATGCTTTCATTTGGAAAAAAAGGTGACTAATGGGGCAGTTGTATAAAATCATGCATTGGATGGAAGACTCTGTCTCCAAAGAGCTGATTGGAATGAGATTTAGAACAGGCAATAGAAAGTGCTTCTTCACATTGTGCATAATTTATTTGCGAAAATCTTTACCAAAAAGTGGTGATAGCTACTAACTTGGATGGCTTTGAAAGGGGATTGGATGAATTCATGGAGCACAAGTCTGTCATGTTT